GTGGGATGTGCCTGGGATGGGGCTGTCCTGGCTGCTAGTGTGGACCAGCTGAGGCCGTGTGCTGTGCTGGGTCACTCAGCTGAGATTAGACCTTGTGGGATGTGTCCCCATGGGGCTGTCCCTTGTCCCTCTTGGCACCTGGCTTCTGTGACGGGCCTAGGGGCTGGGATTAGTGGATTCCCTCAGGTTTTCTCCTCTGGCAGGGAGAACCAGCATCACGTCCCGCTACGAGACGATGTATCGTAGTGCCACGGCTCAGGAGGAGGCGGCGCTGGATGCGGCCACTGCACAAGGTACTGGGATGTGTCACAGAGCGTGATGGTGATTGCAGTGAAATTCCCAACCCTGCTAATGCCTCCATCCTCCTCAGAGGCCGATGCCGCTCTGCGCCCGCTGCAGGATGCCTCGTTGGGCTCTCTGACCGTGTACGTGGTCCCTGAAACCTCCTCTCTCCTGCCTCAGGTAGGGAGCAGCACCCCACTGTACCATCCTCTGTGCACTTCACCCCTTGAAGGTGGCCTGGGGAAGAGGCACCCATCCCCAGGCTGTCACAGGTGGCACGGTGCTGTCCCCCAGCCAGCCCTGCTCCAAGCCCTCACCCCTGCCCCTTCCCCAGGGCATCAACGCCTACGTGGGGAAGCACCGCAGCGCCCTAGTGAGGGCTGAGGGGGACCTGGCCGCCCTCCGTGCCCGCCTCTGGCAGCTCACGCAGGTGATGTCCTTCACAGCCAGCTCCATCACCGCCGCCCTCTCGGACCGCGAGCCTGGCGGCCAGCTCGGCCCTGACGCCCGGCGGCATTTGAAATCCAGCCTGGGTACGGACGTGCACCCCAGCCCTGCTCTCTGAGCTGGGGAAAGCCCTTTGGCTTTGGGGGGAGATCTCCTTCCTGCTGGACTTGTTGCATCCCTGGATGTCTTCTGGGGTAACACACCCTAGAGTCTTCCCTTTGCCCTTGGCAGTTGCTGTGGGCCAGGATGCGTGCTGTGATCGCTGTGTGTTGGGGTGCTAGCACATCAAGGAGGACGAGGGAGGAGGGGGTCAGGTCCCGTCGCTTTTGGGAGCTCTGTCACGGCCACATCCCCGGCTTCGGCATCAACAGGTGGTGGCTGTGCTAGGGCCTCACAGGCAGCGGGTCCTCGGCAGGGTACGGGATTACCTTCAGCCCGCTGAACCCTGAGCCCAAGTCCCACGCCGTGAACTGGGACATTGAGGATGCTGTGAACCGCTACGTGCAGCCCGTGCTGGACAAACTGAGCTTGGTGGCCAACTTCTCTGTTGACTCGCAGGTGAGGGCTGGGAGAGGCGATGGGGAGAACCCAACCCCGGCCTTGCTGTGCCCAGGGCCATGCTTCTCTGCCAGCAACATCTTCATTGTGTGCCTGCAGATCCTGTACTATGCTGTCCTAGGAGTGACACCGCGCTTTGACAAGGAGTCCTCCAGCTTCCTCCTGAGCGCTCACAGCCTCCCGCACGTCATCAACCCCGTGGAGGCGCGGCTGGGTGAGTGCTGTGCTCCTGGCTTGGCTGTAATGGGACCGAGCACTGATGAGGGAGGGGAGACCGCTGTGCCTATGGCCTGTGCCCCCTGCTCTCCCTGCGGCACCAGGTTCTGCCAGCCCTGGATGGGAGCGTGGGTGACTGAGACCTGCTGGGCTGGCAGTTCTGCTCGGGGCTTGCTGTGGAAGGAGGAGCAGGGGCTGCGTGTGGGCTGTCTGCTCTCGCTATCTGTGCCCTCCAGAGACTTCTCTGACTCTGTCCCGCTGCAGGCTCCAGCGCTGCCTCTCTCTACCCCGTGCTGAACTTCCTGCTGTACGTGCCAGAGCGTTCCCACTCCCCTCTGTACATCCAGGACAAGGACGGAGCCCCAGTGAGCACCAATGCCTTCCACAGCCCCCGCTGGGGCGGCATCATGGTACGGGGCAGTGGGGGTGCTGACTGCTCAGACAAGGCTCCCTGTTCCCAGTGAGAGCTGGCAGCCCCAGGTCTCCAGCTGTGCCGCCTCCTGAACTGCTCTCCTGCAGATTTACAACGTTGAAGCCCCTGCTTCCACTCCAGCCTCCCTCCCGCTGCATGTGGACGTGGACATGGTGCGAGTGATGGAGGTTTTCCTGGCCCAGCTCAGGTGAGGACGCGTTCTTCCCTCCTCAGGCCTCTGCGCTTTTGTGGCACATGTGGAAATTGATGGGGTCAAAGTGGGCAGTATCCATGCAGCTCATTTGCTCCTCCATGGGCTCAGGGAGGCTGAGGGTGGCTTTTTGTGGCCTTCAAGGTGCTGACCACCAGCCAGCACTGCTCTATGGGCAGGGGTGCCAGCACATCTCCCACTTCCCGAGGTGGGAGGCTTCTCTTGTCCTGCCCCACATCCAGGAGGCCGTTAGGTGTGGCTGATCCCTGCCAGGATTGGACGTAGCAGGGAAGGAAGCGTGTGGGACCACGGGTTTGTGATATGGGCTGGCACCTTCCCCTCTGCTCCCAGGTTACTCTTTGGGTTATCTCGGGAGGAGCTGCCCTCCGACTTCCTGCTGGAGACCCCAGGGAATGAGGGTCTGGCTGACTGGGAGCTGGACCGCCTGCTCTGGGCCCACACCGTGGAGAACATCGCCACCGTGTCCACCACCTTGACCTCGCTGGCCCAGCTGCTGGACAAGATCGGGAACATCGTCATCAAAGACGACGTGGCCTCTGAGGTAGGGCTGGGGCACCCTGAGCTGGGCCTGTGCAAGCCACGAGCTCTTGTGGTGCAGTGCTGTGAGCGAGGCCCCCAGCCTTGTTTCTGCTGTCCTCCCTGGCCAGGGACTGAGTGTTGGTGTTGTTCCCACACAGGTGTACCAAGCAGTGGCCTCAGCACAGAGCGCCATGGCTGAGCTGGCTGCAGGCCACCTATACTCAGCTTTCCAGGCCAGCAAGAAGGCGGTCACCTCCTCAGAGCGAGCCTTCTTTGACCCATCTCTGCTCCATCTCCTCTACTTCCCCGATGACCAGAAATTCGCCATCTACATCCCCCTCTTCCTGCCCATGGCTGTCCCCATTCTTCTGTCCCTGGCCAAAATCGCCCGTGAGGCCAGGCAGCGTAAGAAGGAGCCCACCAAGATGGACTGAGCGTGTCCCCATGGTGTCCTGCCCTGGGGCTGGCGCTGTCCCCACCTTGTGCAGCGTGGTGGCATGGACCCATGGCCCAAAAAGGGTGCCCCAGAGTGGTGGCAGTGCCAGGCCTGACAGCTCAGCTTGGGTCTGCTGTAGCCAAGATGCCAGACTGGAAAGAGAGGCTGCTTTGAGGGGTGGGAGATGCTCTCAATCTGAGATCTGAGAGGAGGGAGGGGGCTGCCTGTGTGCTCCCCGTGCTCTTGCACTGTGTTCAGAACAAGCTGCTGTATAAATAAAGAAAAACTCTGTTATGTGGGGGCTGCTATGGGGCTGTGTGACCCCTCTGCTCTGCTGGTAACCCTCTGTATGCCAGTTTTCCTCCCTTCCCCTGGTCTGGCTTGTTTGCCCCTGCACCCCCCCTTGCTTTCATGGGATCTGGCTCCTGTCTCATGGATATTTAGCTTGAAGTGCTTGTGGGAGGTGGTTTTGGGGTTCAGCTGCTGGGGGGCAGCTCTTCTTGGAGGGGACCTCTCTCTTTTATGGGTACTGGGGCAAAGCATCACCTTCATGGCGTCCAGGTCCTGAGGCTTTTGGGGGGTGGTTATGGTCTCCCCCCACTGCATTATGGTGTTTCCCCCCCCTTTCCTTGCTCTTAGGGGCAGCGGTAGGGGCTGTTCCCACAACCCCACGGTGTGGGGAGGCTTCTGGGGACACCCGTGGGCTCTGACACCCCCCATGACGGGAGCTTGGCGGGGGGCGCTCGGAGCACCGAGGGGACCGTAACTCACCCCCCCACCGCTCCTC